TATCTAGTGTGTTGGGGAATAATTAATGTGCCGCTGAGTTGTTGGTGAAGTGGAAAGATTCTTAAATTCCAGGTTGAGTGTGTAAAAGTATCTAATCTTCCATGCTTACACCGGTAAACCGCCAAGCTGATGTTTCATGATCAGATATCAGTTGGCCAAAACTGCTCTCTTAACACAGGCCCCGGCAATATATTAGTCATGTGGTGTGAACTTTTCTTGGTAATTTCACAAGCAAGTGTGCGGCATTGCCATACCAGTTTTGTGCAATCAACTGAAAGGGATGTTTAATAAGGGAATAAATATGTGCTTGGCTGGTCTTAAACATGCCTCTCCTGACCCAGGCTCAGGAGAATGGATGCGACTGCGGCTTGGGCATTATCAGTGTTCGTTCTGAGCAGGGTCTTAAACGTTAATGTAAGACCGACCAAGCACATGTTTATTCCCATTCATGTACTTCATGTAACTTTTATTCGTAGTCAAAAGAAGTCAACATGGATTTGCAACGATTTTGTTCTAAAACTTAACTTTCATTTTCCCAAACACCCCGTCCATTTTATGGTATATTTCTTTTGAAAATTGTCCGATAGAATCCCTTCAATGAACTCGGCGTGTGTGGTGCATCGCGTGCACACAGACTCCTGACCAATCAAACCCGATTAAACTGTCTCGTATCCATGTGCCAGCGTGTGGTTTACGCAGCGGGCATTATTACTTTGAAGCCGGCATTCTTGAATGTTAATTCCACGGTCATGTGACACATTTCAACCAACAGGAATAGAAAAACTGTCTGAGGTACGTGTATGAATCATGGATACACATGTACAGCATACATGTACAAAGTATGGTGCCCCATTGTCTGTGAAAAACAATTTAAGTGAGAATTGGCTTAGAAAACACTGTATGCATGTGTTGCCATCTTGAAATGAAAGTGAGGTAAACTTTTCATTTTGGGAACCTGAGAAAAAAAAGAAGAGCAACGAAATAAAAGTTCATGCAAAATGCATTCGTGACAGTTTACATTTAGAATAACTTAGGTTTTGAACCTAAATAGTCTGGCACCACCCCATTTAACATAGGACATTAATATGATAGATGCAGGGAACAAGATCGAACACGGTTTCCCTGTCTATAGCTAGGTCTAGGTCTTCCCTCCCATGGAAATGTGTGGAGACGCGTAGACAATAGACCTAGCCATAGCTCTGGAAGCCCGTTTTGGACACGGCCTAAAGTTTATTGAAATCCTGAGTTACTGCTACATTTTCGTATACTTGTAGGAAATCCAACATAAAGAACTCAGGCATATCGGTACTTGTACATGTAATGTACACTGTAGGAGACCGCTTCACAAACATGATATAAGTAGGAGCCTACCGGTACAAGGATAAAATTTCACTAACTGAAATTTGAAGGGAACAATATAACTCTGGCAATGCATAAAAGGTGCAAAAAATCAAAGTGTACCACATGAGGAGCTGCTGGCTGTGCCACATTTACATCAATTGACAATATTTTTCTGGTTTTTGTTAAAACGGCAAAAGCACTGTACTCTCAGGCTACGGCAATGGTTTGTTGTAATAAACACGACACAAATGACGGGTTATACTGGCACGAGCGGCTGTCGTGCCATCACCTGTTGAATAATATTGACTCTATGAATCAATATTTATTTAACACATTTAATACCACAGATGCATACAGATGCATTCATCACTTTAAATATACCAGTAATTATGCTTTGTGTTTTCATTGGATGTGGTTAGTGGCTTTGTCACAAAGAACCATCAGTTTAATAGCTTTCAGAAAAATCTGTAAATTTACACAACGGGCAAGCCAAAGCTGAAAAATCAGAACTGGTTGTGTCCAAGAAATCTGCACGATGAGAGAAAACAAGAGTCAAAAAGCACCTCCCCCCCCCAAAAAAAAGCCTGACATACCTGAAATACCTGAATCCTGAAACCTGTAATCTTGACAAAAATAAAAACCAATAGAAGATTATCAGACCTCGTACAATGATACATAAAAGTTCTAGTAAAAAATTATGGTCATTGTATACATTTCTGCTATAGCATGAAATGCATGTACATGTACTTCTCCTCCCTCGCATGAACATGGAAAAAAACAAGCACCAGAGTGGTCAACCATTGTTTAGGGTCATTCTATAAGTTCAGGGTCCAAAGTGGGACTTTTTTGGTGTCCCTGTCATACCTGACCTGTGTAATTACAGAAATATCACTGAAATATGATTTCAAACAATTTCAATTTATTTTGTAGGTAATTTGTATTACTTCACCACTCTTGGACATTACAAAATGTGTTCTGAACTTACCAAATCACCAGTCAGATGTGACAGGGACACGAAAAAAATTGACCCTAAATTATACAATGACCCTGAAAGGTAATTTAAAGCACATGCTAATTTCGTCAGAAGTAAGGATGGGACGTTGACACATTTAAACAAAAAAAGTTACAAATCCGTTTTATAAATTTTCATAAACATTAAAAAGGAATCATCCCTTTTAGAGGTTTGACGCTCTTGTTGACGCAACTTGGCATTCTTTTTTATTGTAAACGATGCCTGAAAAATACACAGTGTAATCTTAGGCTGCATCCGAATCTGTTGTCTAGAGCTAGGTCTAGGTCTTCCATCCATTTGAAATGTGCGGAGATGCGTAGACAATAGACCTAGCCGTAGCTCTGGAAGCCCGTTTCGGACACAGCCTTATTTTCAGAACATTTTACTGCTTGGTCATATTAAAATAATAAAAAGTAAAATCATATCAAAAGAAAAAAGTTCTAAATCCCTTTATAGATTTTCCCAAACATTTCAATGGACCGCCCCTTCCAGAGGTTTGACGTTTTGGTTGACACAATCTGGCATTCTTTTTTTTTTGTTCGTAAACGATGCCTGTAAAATACAATCTGATTTTCAGAACACTTTACTGCTCGGTCATATCAGAAGAATGCCATGAATTCATCACCACAAGTTTGTGTCAGCTTTTGACATTATATACAATTTGTTGTGTTTAAATTTTGAATGACACTGTGTTAAGGGTGGGACGTTTACACATACAAAAAGCATGCGTACAAGGACATGTACCGGTACATTCATTGGTTGATGTTTGCCTTAATGACAGACTCTCATTATTTGTACATGTACTGTACATGTTGGCTACTATTGAGTACACTAATAATAAAGTTGTCATTACGGTCTTCTGATTAAAAATACACACTGTACATACATGTATGCGTCAATTTTCTTTTTGACTTCATTGAGTTAAATTTGGCAAACTTGAATCAGGTGTTCTGTGGGGTTGCTGTTTGGAAGTTGTTCATTCAATCACTGTTTGTACACGTACTGTACCAGTGTTGTACTGTATCCCAGTGTAAGACCGTTACAACAATTCAGCAATATTCCAGTGTGAATGTTGATATACACGTAAACTTTGATCTTCTCCAATTACTCCATTGCAGGCCTCTTCATTCTCCCGACTTTTCTTCTCGTTTCTTTCTAAATTGAGGCATGTAGGCCCTATGGTAATATCCATTCGTTGCTCGTCCCTATTTTGTCTCTGAGGCAGCAACTTGTGAGGAAAATGCAGTTTTTAAAGAGGTGACCAAAATGGTACATGTATGTTGTAAAACAAAAATGACAAAAGCTTCAAAGATGTTAAAAAAGATGACACGTGGATGGTAACTGCTTTGAGGTCAGGCTGCAGAGGTAGTCTTGGTGTGTTCATTGTACACGTGAACTGTTTGTCATTCAACCAAGGCACAGTCATACATGTACATACATGTTTATATACTAGCAGACAACATGTACACCATGAACTGTGCACAGTACCAAAAAATTCCAGCTTTCTTGTGTCCAGTACAGTGTGACTTCCTGACAAAGGAGTTTGTTGTTCTCAATTTCGTGTGGGTGGTCATTAATGCATTCATTATCACTGATGTGTGACTGGTACTTAACAAAATCAGTATTAATTGTGCAATACATTGTAGTTCACTGCCATTGCTCTATCTGCAGCATCCTCAAGCATTGGCCGTTTCCAGTTAGTTCTGCTTGAACAGGGATTGGATAAAGGGGGAGTTCAGGCAGCAACAAATTAGAGTGTTGACAGGCTGTTCAGTAACCTAGCAACGTGAAGGCTGGCCCTCCATCTCCAAGGTCATTTGCGGTCAATATTTTGCCCATGGAGGGTTGGTGGGAATCTTTTGTGTACGTTGCACATGGTCCTGACCCAAGAAGTGCCTTTTTGTTCTTTTTTTTGGTGGAAAGGGTTCGCTTTAGCTAGAGGGAATTCCAATGTGTACAATGAACGTCAGCCTATCTTCAAACATGTATAGCATGTCTTTGGGTATATACACTCCTGTTCCAGCACACATACACGTACATGGGTGCACCAGTGCGTGTATCATGTAGCTGGGTCAAGTCTTCCTGATTCATCCAGAGTGACACGTGCTATGTGCATGTACCCTTGCTATCCTGCAATAGGGTAGGTTCCAGCTACATGTGGTTTTTAGAAAGGAGAAGCGTGTACTGTACATGAACATGTTTTTAAGCCATTTGATGTATTTTACCTGTTCCTGTGAAAGTGAAAGCTGCACACGCAGTGTACACGTACATCAGTATGAACCATAGGCCGAACAGACGTTGACATAAGATGTACGGTACATGCATACCACATCAATGTCATACTGTGTCTTCCTGTGTACATGTTTGTGGCTTGGCATTGGCAACCATAAGAGTGGAGACCATAGTGCTACACTTTCACCTCAGAGACTGTAGAGATTGGCAAGACGTTTCATTTTCTGTCCAGTAGAATCGTGTTAACCAGCATTCTACTCATGGATGCCAAATATATGGTACCGTACATGTACACGTAGATGTTTTTCTGGTTATGTACCAGATCATGTCACATCCAAGAAAAATGATTGCTGGAGTGAATTTTTTCAGAATCTGCAAATGAACAAAATCCCATTTTTCTCCCTTTGTTCTCTAGAGCTTTGCCAACTGCCAACAGTCATTCATTATATGCCCTGAGGATGTGTTCAGTACTCAGCACTGGAAGCTAATCAGCTGCTGTCTGTGAGAAACCATCTCCTAGTCTGTGGGTGTCTTGATAATATTTTAGCTGGATGTGACCAGGATTTCAAGAAAGCAGCCCCGATGCCATCTTTTATGGATCTTGTTAACCTCTAATTACATCTAATAACCCCCACAAAGAATCTTCAACGGCAGTAGGGATCCATTACTGTTTAATTTCATGCCACAGGACGGCTCCGTGCCTTGCATACGCCTGTAATTCCATTTCTGCACACGAGGTGGGGATGGTCACCATTGAGGCAGGCGCACTGCCATCCCTCAACCCCGATTTTGGTGTTGGGACGCCTGCACGTGCACGCTGACTTTATGGGGCACTTGGGACATGTGCCAGTGGTCTGATATCCACCTGACTCATTAAATGAGTTGTTTCTTCAGGTACATGTACTATACACTCAGTGTTGCTCTGGTGGAGAACTGGTGCTCCTCTGGTGGGGAGGAATCATAGCCAGAATTTGCTGTCGTGACCGCACACCAGACTTGGATGACTGGGATGATCACACTAACATGTGTCAGTTCACCGTAATGAATTGCCAGCTTAGAGGTAAGGCTAGCTGTGTATGGAATATTATGGTGTTCATCCGTACTGTACATGTGGTTCTTACCAATACACATGTACATGTAGATTGTCAGTTTGCCCAGAGAAGAATTTCCCTACATTGTAAAAGAACTAGGGCCGCCATTGCTTTGAATTGTGCACTTGGTCCATACTGCGCTTTGAGCCTCCATATTGCATCAAGAAAAGCTTCTGTGTCGTCTTTACATACGTGTATTGTTCTTGCATCTGCTGTATTTTGATAGTTTGATTATTGGTCTGTTACATGTACCAGCTTGTTGTACTATGTATTTCGTCATTTTCTGTGTCTCTGTTTACACGTGTGCTTTGTTGTTTGTCATGTCCTGCTTGATATATGTACTTGAGAAATAATAAATGAAATGAGACGTAGGTACTGTATCTTTTAAATTTATGTAAAACCCTACGATGCCAGCATCATAAAATCTGTGAAATACATGTCAAGTTCTATGTGTACATGTATAGCTATTTCCTAATGGCTGTTAACACTTGGAAATACATGTATTTGTTAACATTTTGGTTGGTTTTATTCTTGCTTTTTGGGGCCCATCAAGTACTTGTATTTTCAGAAATGACTTCAAAGTAATGAAGTAATTACAATGATTACCATAGTTACATTTGTACAATGTACCATGTAGTTTGCTTTATAATCCCATCTTGGGGAAGAGGATATTGAGTTCATTAAGGATTTACAAAATTTTCTTGGAAGGGAGACACATTATGGACACCAACTACATGTATATGAAAAGAAGTCAGGTATGGTAGCAGAAGTCAAACCTTTCACGTCTGGGGTTGTGTGCATTTTCACACCCATTTGTAGTTTTGTTCACCTTTGTAAAAGATTATATATGGCAAACTTGAAAATTATGACAAATTCTGAGCAAGCGCTGTTCACAAGTTGCATACACTTTGGGAAAAAGGAAAGAGTTCAATCTCCAGACAGCTCTTATTCTGAAGAGGGCTTGGAAACTATGAGTACATTTACCAAAAAGTGTAAATCTGAAGAAACACTAATTTAGGAGTAAAAAAATCAAAAAATTTCTTTTAGTATTCTGCACAATTAAATGATTGAGCCTTGTTAATCAAATTTATGCAAACTTGTCACAGTATCCATTTCAGTATTCATAACATTGGTCTAGTTTGTTCCCTCATCTGTGTCAATAACAACACAAGCTGTAGGCCATTGCAGAGAGGACATTCTGTCCTGTCTAGATATACTTGTACTGGTACATGTATTTCTCTTTCCCAGTCATAGTTTCGCCATTACAGTAATCTTTATCTCGGTATACTTTTTTATTTGGACTCCCTGTAAAAACAGGCGTATATTTTTGAACATATTTTTCTACAGCTTCTTGTACAAGTTTGTAAGCAGCTTGGAGGTGATCTTTGACGACTGATTCCTTAAATTTGATACAGCTGTGTGGCCTACAAGAATGAAAACATTTTGGACAACTTGGATAGGGCATAGGGATGCCAACAAGTATGTCTTCAGTGATACATGTAGTTCCTTATGTACATGATTTCACAATGGTCTCAAAACAGTCAATCAATTAGGTCAACCTGTGAGGCAACAGCCCTTAAAGACATCTTGAGTGTGTTATTGCCTTAAGGGAACTGAACTGAGAATTTCTGCCACGGATTGACCTTGATGTGTGTGCGTGTGCAGGTTGAGCAATGACGGCCTTAACATGTACCACAACCACTTTTACTGTAATCGGTAAAATCATCATTTTCCTTGCATGATTTGTTTTTTACACCGTACCATTACTACCACAACTTCCGTCCCGATAGTGAGAGGGTGTATACCAGTACGTGTATGTACATGTACACATGCTCTTGAACACCGAAGTTTGTTGCGCAAAGGTCGGACTTGCTCATGTGTACCAGTTGTTTTCATGATGTGCATACATGCACTGGTACATGTACGTACTGTATTTCACCCTTTCCTGCCACCTTGTGCAGTAAAAAGTGGTCCCATATTGTGTAATGGGAATTACTTCATTGCATACAGTTCTGTGAAATGTAGGCTATTTGTAACATATGCACATTGTACATGTGCACATTTATTTAGTGTAGACTGTACGGAGTACGGGTCTCATTATGCACTTGCACAGAAGAAATAGCGGGCTTGGACACTTTCCTGACTCATTTTTCTCCTTCACCTTTTTTTCCTGCTTCCCAGTGAATGTCTCTACTTCTCAGCACTCTGCAGATGACAGATGATTCATGGGCAGCAAGTCTTAAGTTCACCGCTGAAAACATGCTATTATAAAGGTAACCATAATTGAGAAGTTTTTTGCGGGGAGGGGGAGAGGTACATGTACATGTAGGGGACCCCCGACTTGGACTGTTTGACCCCAGGGGTTATAACAATATTGGTCTAGCATGGTTGGTAGATTTATGTAGACAGGAACTGCTGTTTGTTATTAAATTTCCCCCATCAGAACCAAAATCTTTGATAGCAAGTAAAAAAATGCTGGCTAGGAATTCTAAATGTAGAACCCTGAACCTCAGCCATTTTTTTCTAGGAAGCAATTTGGTATATTCGGGTATGCCATTATCAATCTTAACCTTGTTTAATCCGGAATGAATTTCCCCTGAAAGCTTTGGAACTGGAAGGTGCCACTCATGTACAGTGTTCATGTATTTCCCCCCCCCCCCTTATTCAGATTAATACATTTTTATTCCCAATCTACTAGTAACTGGACAGTGGGTTTTATTATCACAGATTTATTCCCAATTCATGTTGTTACACTTACAGGATCCGTACTTTAACCCTAACAGTCCCAAATCCTCCAATTTCAATACGATTTTACATACACCCCTGGGGGTTAGGGTTAATTTAAAGAGCATATTCTGTTTGCAATTTTGTTTGCCCAAAATGAATGGTCTGTCTGCTCAGAAAAATTGGTGTCAAATAACAGTAGCACAAGGCTTGCAACGTTCTTATTTGAACTACTGTAGGTGTTCCCACAGTGGAACATTCCACCATTCCATTGAGAACATGTCTTTCTGGTTGAACAGTCAAGTGGAATGGTACATGTAGAGAACTCTGCGTTCCCCAAGACTTTCCCACAGCTCAGGGTGATGAATGTACATGTACATAGTGTACCTTGGCTCACTGCGAATTTCTGCCCGGTTCAGGAACATGTTACGACCTTTCCGATAATACATGTATGCATCAGTTGAGGATGGGTTTTGCTTAGTGTTAGTAGATGATACTTGTATCTGTTGCGATTAGATATACATGTAACTTGGTTACAAATTACAGTGGAATTTACCAGTAGAAGTTTTTTTAGGTCGCAGGGTTGACAAATCTGTTAATGTACGCATACTTACATGTAAGTTGTCCTTATGGTAAACTTTCAGAAAGAATGTTGCATGCAAACACTTGCTAGGCCCTATTCACTATTTACAGGCCCTGTTTCAAGTACCCAAGATCAAAAATCTTTAATACTCAATACTTTGTTTGACAGATTGTCCTGGATATGATAGAGGAAGAGAATTGTTGGAGGATTTGGGGGAGAAAATGCCGACAAGAACAACAGCGCACACCACCAAAGCTTTTCAACTCATTAAAATCCTAGCACCTTATGGAAGTTTGTGTCTATGTACAAAAGAAGACTTAAAAAAGCAACAAACATGTACCATTTATGATGTAAATTCTGTCAGAAAGTCATATTCACAACTTTACAAGGCGTGTACATGTACGTGTACAATCTATAGCACTCAGTACATGTTTGTGCTTT